AAAAAAAAAAAAAAAAAAAAGAACAACAAATTATCTACTTTTAAAATCCTAAAACTGTGCATTTACTAAAAATAATAAGCAGACTGCATGGTGATACCACCCAGTACAGAAATTGTGAATGCACTGCAGAGCGCGTCTTGCAGCGAGTTGGTGGAATTACATTTTAAGCAATCTTGTGACATAAAGCTTAATCAAAAGTCTATTTACCTTGTTCACAGCTCTCTACTGCACCATACTGAGCAAGCATCCCATCCAACACCTGAGCAAAAGGAGAAGAAAAAAAGCCATGATTACTTGGTGATTTTGAAGGTTTTGAGCTGATCCGGTTAGTGAGAAGAAGCTCATCCATGGGAACCAGCCCAGCTCACTGCCAGGACACACTCCATTAATTCTGAGCCCCCCTGAGTTCAGTATTAAGTTACGTGGATAAATTTGTTGCCTTCCTGTAAAAGCCTAAATTATGACTCTCCCCGTAAGTGCACTTGGGTGCACGGTGCTGTAGGTGTTGAGCAAGTTTTACACTGTATTTATTTAAAAAGTCTCTGTAAATAGCGGAGCAATGCTTTAAATAACACACATTTTATCTGTTTTTTTTTTTTTTTAAGTCAGATAATTAGTGACCATTTTAGCTAAACAAATCCTTAAAGCCATGTTTGATAGTCTTTGTTGTATACTTTGTGATACAGGCAGGCTTTTTAAATACATGTAAAATAAAAATAAAATAAATCCCCAGTATTTTAGAACAATACACAACAAAAGGAAAATGGCATACAGAGAAATAAAGAAATTTGCAAATGCATTCAAAAAAAAAAAAAAAAAAAAGTCATGCCAAGCTGGCCACCTTCCCAAATCTGGAGACCACAGGATTTCAATTCATAGATGTGATCAAATGTGGGCGAGAGGGGGAGCGAGGGTTCTAAGCTAAGCTAAGACCTCCGACCATGCTCAGTTGAACCCGAGGCCACACCCCCACGAGCTCAACCCCACTTTCCAGCCAACAAGACCGCGTCCCTGCCCCCCCACTCCACCAACCCACCAACCAAGCAGCCTCCCGCCTCCCTGCCATCTCATTCCCCATCATTGGCTGCTCCGGTGCTGATATGAGTTCCCTGAAGCCAAGAGTCGCTGGCTGCTGGCTGGCTACTCTGCCTGTCCATTCAGCCGGCCTGGCCAATGGGAATCCAGGCCATTCAGGAAAGGGTGGGGTACATTCCAGCAGGAAGCAGCAGCTGGGGGAGGGGTGCGAGTTCATGCTACACATTCTGTGTATCGGCGCACATGGAAGGGAAGGTGGGGGGGGGGGGGGGTCCAGCCCCGCCCACCCACCCACTACAGCCTGTGAACACGCCACTACTCTCACCACCATTCTCCTGCTGTAGGGCGACACACACACCGTGACCCGTTGTCTTATCTACCTGATAAGATACATGCAAGGCCCTTTGCATCAAAAGATCTCATTCTACTCTGTTCATCCATTCTTCTCACCCCTCCCCCTCTGAGGTGGTGGGGGGGGGCTCTCCATGTCACCTTTCTTTTTTTTTTAGCAAATAGCTTTGCTCGCTACATGCTAGGAACATGGGTGGATGTGGAGCTGCAGTTATAAGGGACATGCGTAGGCAAAAGCGAGCCCACCATTACAAAACACTGAGCCTGTCCGTAGCCATTTGATCACAGTGAGTGAATCAGGCTGAAATCTAAAGCCATGTGTTCTAACCTTACAATCTCACACTTCACAATAGCGCTGAACAATTGTGCAATTCAATAAGAAAATTCTCATTAGGCTTCTATAGTCTTTATGGAGCAGAAAATTAAATTCTACACTACAGGCACACGCTATCACAGCTAAAGCTCCACACAAGGGGGGGAAGAAAGTCACGTAAAGCTGTGGAAATGCCACAGGAGATTCCACACGCAAGTTCACTGGAATTTAGAGTTTGACACAAATGATTACTTTAAAAAAAATTTTATTTGAAAAAAAAAAAAAAAAAAGCTTGAGTGCATTTTTTTTTTAAGTTGGCTGACAAATGTCTAAGTCCAGATAATCTTACGTGTGCCCAGCAGATTGATGAGTAATCAAAGCAGAATGTGTAACGGACACTGAATACTGAGGAGTTTTAAATTCAACGCTTATCACATTCACAGAAAGAAAAGACATGCAATGTATGACACACACACACACACACACACACACACACACACACGACTGTTGCTCAACACTCACTAGTTTTACACTAATCAGGCAGTGGCCTTGAAATCTGACCATGTTGCAGCTCACCATTTCTACTGATGTTATTCATTTTTTACATGACAGGTTTTTGCATGTTAGCTCTTTAAGGAGGACAAAAAAAAAAAAAAGTGGACCGGATTTGAGATTTAACACCGACTTTGAGCGTCACTTTGCCCGCTTCAGCTCAGTTTAAAATCCTGTGTAGAAATCTGCCTTGAAAACATCCAATGAACTTATGCAACTAAAGGACAGTTTTGCATGATCAATTCAAACATGGTTTGCAGGAGAATTTGCCACAGAAAATTTGGAGGGGGAGGGGGGGCATTTTTACCTAAAATACCAAAGTCCGCTTCCAGGCTTAATCCAACATCATGCCACATAATTCACGCAACTTAAGTTACCGGAGTTGGAGTAGTTGTACATATAACTGTCCTTTCAGAGTTGATTAACAGCAAGTCATCAGTTTTTTTATTTAGATTCACTTTCTCAACCTAAAAGCTAGCTTTAAGCTGTTTGCATACAAGTGTAGTAGCAGATATAGACATATAAAAAAACCCGCTTCTGTAATTTAACGTGACAGCACAGTAAATCTGAAACAACTACTTTAGCAGCTTACACAGCTGTATTTTGTCAACAGTGTCAGGAATGCGTAATAAGTTGAGGTGGCATTTATGGTCTGTGGTACATGTGATGTGTTATTTAGCTAAAATCTGCCCATAAAAACGCCATATATTGTATTCTCCAGCACAACTGTGTCTTTAAATTTCATTGCATTTGAATCAGCACCACAGACGGACTGAAAACCTCTGACATAATAATCACCACAAATGTGTCTGTTGCAGGGCTTCTGCAAGGGATTGCATTAAATTGCTGATCTTTCTTGTCCACCCTCAGCGTGTCAAAGAAACACTGACATAAGAAATTCAAAACACCGGGTTTCCAGAAACGCATAAAAAATACACCGTATGCATGAAGAAAACTACAACTTCTGAACAGACAAACTGACCATCTTTAAAAAAAATAATTAAAATGTCCCATACACCATATAAGGACTTGCACACTCGAGTTGTCCAGGTCAAACCCTGCTGCCGCATGAATCTTTCAGAACCTCTCAGACAACACTCAATTTATTTTTAATTCATTTCCACGCTTTTTTTTTTTAATGCATGCAAGGAAACGCATGATGTCCAAAAAAAAAAAAAGCTTTCCCTTTCAAACTTTCACAAGTCATCAGCATTGAAAGACACCATCACCGAACAATTAAGTCCCATTTAAAGCACATCAGATCCTGTGTACCACATGATCAACAGCATTTGTTTTTGTGCTTACATGGCTTGTAGGTAGCCAACACATGTAGGATTACAAGGCTACAAACAACATGCTCCTGTGTGTGCGAGCCAGCCAAAATCATCTAGAGACTCTGCTCTCATGAAATCTTTTGAAATTCTTCCAGTGTCTTTGTTTGGTAAAACCTCAGCGCTTATCGTGGCCTTCCCAAGCTCCAGTTGTACAGAAAATGCCACAAAATAATTTTTTTTAAAAGAAAAAAAAAAAGCAATCTTGCAATGTTAGTAGTCAACTGCCTGGTGACATTAGCAATCCACCAATCACAGTTCACCATGTTACAATGGCCTGAGCTGCAGCCCTAGTCAAACGAATCATCAAGTGCATGCTCAATTGAAACCCAAAGGGAGGCAAGGTGACTCCGGAGGCCACTAAATGAGAGCCCAGTTGGGCTGCCCCATGGTGCCCCGCCCTGGAAGCGGTTAGCAGCCTGTTAGCACTCACCTCCCACTGCATGTGAGGCGGGATGTTCCTGATCTGCAGCTTACAGCTCCTGGAGAGAGAACAAGAGAGGAAGAGGGTGGGGGATGGATAAAGGAAGACAGAGAAAGAGAGAGAGAGAAAAAAAAAGGAAATTGATGAAGGTAGATGGGAGAAAGATGGGAGAGAAAAGAGGAGAAAGACAGTTAATAGCTGACATATTAAGGGCGCAATGATGCAAATGGCAGAGCGGTATCAGAAATAAAGGCAGGTCTTCATTCTCCTCCGCCATCTACTAACAAGAGCGACCACAGTAGAGAAGCTCAAGATATGACTTCTTTAATCCCATTTCCAACTCAGCAGGTGTACCGAGACACCCTGGGTAAAACACAAGTGACAAAAAAAAAAAAAAGGTGGAATCACCACTGAGTGGACTAAATTGAGTTGAGGGTGCTCAATATTACAATTAAGCTTATAATAAAAAAAAAAAAATGTAAAGAGAAGAAAAAAAAAGAAACCACCACGCCCTTGTTGCAAATCACCAACTGTGTCGCACGGAGCGCAAAGAACGAGATGGGGAAGAGGAACGGGACAGGGAAGCGGGAGGAAGGAGTGGTAGGATGCAACAAGATGAGAGCAGGGGGGGAATTTATTTATTTAAGATTGAAAAAAAAAAAAAAAAAGAGGGGGATACAGTATCAGAAAGTCATGTCTGCACACTTAGAGTCAAGCATGTGCCCTGTAGCATTGGATGATGAGGTTTCAACCACTGCATGGCTCTGGCTTACTCTTTTCAATCAAAAAAAAAAAAAACACACACACACACTTATCCAGGAGCATCCGGCAGTCGTATCAAAAAAATAAGGGAAGGGGGGGCAGGTGGTTACAGAAACCAAAGGGAATCTCCGCTGGCCGCGTCACACTAAATAGGAAGAGTCAAAATTGCGTGCTTCTTCACAGAGAGTGTGCATACAGCAGAAGCAAGTGGAGACTGGCGGTTACAATGGTGCTGCTGTGCTCTGTCACTAGAAACAACAAGGACAGAAATCCCCAATTCATTCCTCTGGCATTATGGCTCCCAGTTTAGTTATGTTTTGTGTACAGCAGCGTGAGTATACTGGCCGTGTGTGGAGGTCACTCAGACAATGGAACTTGTGGATCAATGAGTCACAGAGTTTCACAAGTGTCTGCCCGCATGTGATTGTTGTATAAAAAAATGTGAGAAAAGTGAAGGCCACTCCAAAGTCCACTGCATGTTGACACACACAAATCTAAAGGAACAAAATGTACATATGGCTGAGAGCTGAAGCGTGAACACACACACACACACAATGTGGGATCACAAACCCTGACCCCAACCCCGTGAGCCTTGCACTCACGCCGCACGAAGCAGATGCAGTATGTGCAGATAATTCAAAGTTGTTAGATGGAGGCATGTTTGTAAAAAATTTTGACCCCTCAAGAGTTGTACGACACACATTTTTCTCCTCTTTCCTCAAGCTTCACTGAGCTGTTAAATGATATCTAAATGCAGCTCATCTACTTGTACAAACTGCCCCACTGTTAATGGTTGTGTTGTAATCAAAAGAAGAAAAAAAAAACTGCGTCAAAGATAACCCCTTCCAGCATGCAGCATTCATCAAGTCACCTTCTACACCATGAACTCACATTCAAGAGGAAAAAATTAAATAAAAAGGAGGAGGAAAATTTAAAACATTCCATTCAAGCATATATGCACAGGGAAGCGGACTGCACGTGTGCACCAAAGGGCCACAATAGTTGGAATTCCTCAGCTTAGCCACTACGGCCATGATCAAGCTAAGGGCAGGTCAACGTATTTAACACGAGACATTAGAAAACTACCTCATTCTAAATGGCCAAATTGTAAAGAAAAATTCCCAAGAAACTTCCAGCAGGAATTTCAGCCCTTTCCGGCCCGCTGTGCCATTCCTGGCTGATCTAGCCCCCTTCGCCCCACACATTCTGTAGCCTATGCTCTGCATTGCGGTGGGAACACCAAGCGAAATGTGCAAATGCACAAAGCACTTCCAGTCGGATTAACCTATAGCTGCACACACATAAGAAGTCAGCCAGGGTATGTGGTGGGGTGGGGGTTGTGGGTGGTATACATTCCCTCGTCCCAGCCCTTGATTTGGGGAGGAGTGTGTGGATATATATATATATATGTATGTGTGTGTGTGTGTGTGCGTGCGTGCATGTGTGTGAGTGGGGTGTGGTATTGGGGGGGACTAGCCCTGTTTCAGGCAAGGGTAACAAGGGCCCTCTCTGCCCTGTGGGGGTGGGGCCCTGTTGCCATGGACACGGACAAGTCCACTGACAGGAACATGTAGAGCGGGGTTAAAAGTGGGAGGGGGAGGGAAGGGAGGGGAGGGCCAGGAGTGACTGGGGTTGGCTCGTCATGTGATGGCCAGGAGGAGGCCGGGCTCCTTATTTACTTTCAAAATGGACCAACATTCTACACATTCGCCCTCTTCCATGGCCGCCCGGCCGAGACCTATGGGCCCAGATCACGCACACCGGTGGGTGTAGAGACACGTATGCACACACGCACGCAAGGAAACCCACCGGAGGATTGACAAGCCAAGCAGCATGACACTGCACCACACCTGCATTCATCTCCGCTTCTTAGCAGTGCTCCCATACTGTACTGAAGAGCTCTACGTCAGCACTGCTGTGGACAGTGTGGGACACACGAGATCTGTGCTCAACGCCCATCCACAGCCATAGACTATTCAGTATGCAGAGGTTCTGAATGACTGAACTCCACACAGTCTGGTTTCCACTGCCCTCTCACAGGCCTTATATGCACACCGGGCATCCAATAAGCTACATTTACACTTGCATTTGGATAGATTGAAATTCTCTAAAAAAGGAATTCCACACCAAAGAGAGTTGAATATGAGCTGTTAGAACTTCTGCAAAGACCATTTCACATTTGTGTCTTTACATCCTGGTCACACAGAAATTTCATATATTTTTACGAGATGGGGGAAAAAGTACAATGCCATTCTGATTTGAGTCCAGAGGGAGGAGGAGGAGGAGGAGGAGTTAAGAAACCTTCGCCTGCAGTCTGAGTCAAACAAGGGGCCACATTCATAATTCTCTGGCACCCCAAGTCTCCGTCCCAAATCCCCGTTTTTGCAGGTGGGGCCCCACAGTGACCCCATGACCCAGAATTCTTATTATCAAGACTCAGAAGCTATTTCAATAAACAACCCTGATACGATCGACACTATTGTTTCCATTTAGTGATCATATTTTAAAAGCTTGTGTTTTTTAAAGAAAGGTACTTTAACCAAAAAAAAAAAGAAAAGGAAAAAGTACTGAAACTTTACACTCACTGACAACAATTGCTGCACTACATGTGCTCTAAAAAAAAAAAAAAAAACCTAAGCTGCACACCTTTGAACATTAGTATATTTACGTCCGTCTTGCTCGCACTCACTCACTCACACACACACACACACACATATACACACATGCACGCACACAGACAAACACTTGGGGCCACCCTTCCTGCAGCTACGCCATTTTTATTCCTTCTCGTACAACTGACGTGTATATACGTGGGGATGGGCAAGCTGGATTTTTACATTGATGGATTTATCCAACATGGAGTACAATTTGAACCAGGATGTTCAGCCAGTCTACACAATAATGACACTGTTGCAGCTCAGCTTGACTTAGAATTATGGATTAAATTAAATATGAGTGATTTTATTTTATTTTAAAACTAACTGTTGGCAAAATGGACTTAATATGGCACAGCTCCACTAACAAGCAAATCAATACACTTTGGTAAAAAGCCAGGTCAAAAGTTGACACATAATTGCCATTTTGCACTTTAATGTCAGTTGTGGGGAGGAGAAAAAAAATGGCTGTTTGAAAAGTAGATACACCTGTAAGATTCTGATTAATGCTGGACTTCCAATTGAAAAATATACATGCTTTGCTCAGAATAAAAACATAAAAGCACAAGACCAGGAATGAGTGGGTGTCAGCTTTAAATGGCAGAATTTTTTCTTAAATCTGTTTTTCAAAAAAAATAAAACAAGAACAGCAATGCATATTTTTTAAAGACAGGCAAAGTTGAATACAAAACGTCTTTAGCTGACTAAAGGCTTAATAACCATGGATGTACACTCCCTGCAGACAGGGTGTGTACAGTTAAATTCATTTTGCTGTATTATGCTAATTGGTACAGTATATTTTCAGGAGTCACTACTGATCGCAGCACATGTTTTGCTAAACGCACTGCAGATCGTATTGGTGGTCTTTTGGGCACAGTGATGGCGGATTTTTTTGAAAATTACACATCAGTCTTTAATTATTTTGTTTCAAATTGGAGCCCCAGACTTTCGCAGTGTGTCACCCAACGCAGTCCTGTCTTTATGGACCCCAAAGTGTAGCTACAGCAGTCTGCTACAGCACTTCCCCTTCCTGATGGGTTCAAAGGTTAAGCCATGGTGATTGGCCAAGCCCCCAGCTGATATTTGCAGGCTGGAATGCAAAGAGGGGGCCCCAGTGTACAAGTGCGTGTGTGAGTGAGTGTGTGTGTGTGTGTGTGTGTGTGAGTGTGTGTGTGTATACAGCCTATCCTCAGAATACTGTTCCCATTGACTACTGCTATGTTCCATGTTGTAAAGGGAGGGCACGTTTTACTTTTTTGAAGTGTGGCTGAAACTCGACTCTGTTGCTGCCATGGCCAACACGGCAGGCTGCACTAAAAAGACAGCAACGTCACCAGTTTTTTCGTGATGAGGAGCATTTTTTGGAGGAAGGTCTCCAGAATTTGACGCAAAGAAACAAATAAAAAGAATATCCCTTCTCGCGTGGAGCTCACCTGGTTTATTTATCCAAAGCTACAATTCACGCCTTTAACCAGGAGCCACAGATCGCCCGTACGATACTCAAATGGAAAAATACATTTCACGTTAAAGATCTGAAAAAAATAAAAAAGAAAGAGAAATTTGAAAAAATCCCTGTATGCCTCGTTTTTATAGGTGTGATTTAATTTAAGCCACGTGTTACGGTTTAAAAGCCTATACACGACTTTCTGCTATCAAATCTCACTTTGCGTAAAAACTGCGGATTACCCAAACGTAAAAGAAAGCAAACAGCGTATATTTACGTTGAATGCCTCTTACAACTAATTACACCAATTACCGAGCAAGAGCCATTTGAATTAATTCAAGGATTAATTGCAACCAAATGGCGTCACCAACAAAAAATACGCACACAATGTCAAATACGCACAGGATTTTTTTTTTCTTTTTTTACGCACACAGAACAGATTACGTGACGAACCCAAGAAATTATTTTCAACACACTTTCGAAAACCAGTCACTCAAAACAAGTGTCCAGTGTGGCTCGAACTCTCAAACTGAAGGGGGGGTTTTTCGTGACTTGGGCCCCCAAAGCCAACCATTCCACTCGCGTTTGGGAGTCCATCTCATGCAACAGCAGCACAATGTGCTGAGGAGGGCGGAAGCGCAGGGCAGACACGGAGAATGACGGGCAGATCCTTCTCAAATGGACGACTCCACAAGGCCTGCACGCCTCAAATCCAGCCTGCACTAAAAAACTCTGCACACATTTCAAGCCTGCACACTCAGGGCTTTTAACCAGTCGCCCTGAGGTTCCAGCTCAGAAATTATAACATCAAGCACCGTGCGTACACAACAACAACCAAAACACGCACACAGTAGTGGATGACAAAATACAAGCCATGTGGTGGTTAAAACCCAAATGCATAACGGTTTTTTAGGAGCACCCTTACAGTCATGGCGACAGGAGGGAGTACACCACCATACGCCCCTTTTATTTGACCCCAGAGCATTGAGAGGAGGAAAATAAAAAATGATTTAAGCACAAAAGCGAGAGAAGACACATCTGAATTAACAGCAGCATGCACGCACAACTCCAACGTTATTAGTTGGGAAAATTAAAAAATAAAAAAAGCCTTCTTGGAGAAAATGGCTACAGTAAGAGGGGGAGAAAAAAAAAACACACTGAAGCTCCCACGAGTTGAACCAAAGCACTATATAATAAAACTTGACCTACCTTAGACGTTTAGGGACCGAGTGCTCCACTTCCAGAACTTTCCCGTGAAGTTCAGCTTTACCTAGAAAACAAAAAAATAAATAAAATGCAACTACTTTAATTCCATTCACCATATGACCTCTCACACAGGCCTTCCTTTCATGCTGTTTTTTTTGGGGAGGGGGGTGGAAATGCATTTAAAAAGGTTAGTGTTTACTACTCATTTTATGGAGCGTGCTAAAGAAGGCGAAAATTATAATAATCCAAGCAGCCACATGCACACATGGCAGTGTCCTGGATATTTTCAGCATAGTGTGATATTAGCAGCACAATTTGTTGAAAGTGAGCGAGCCACTAACAGCACGAGGACACAAACGAGCTTCACGTTAGCCCCCAAAATGCGTAAAATATCAGACGAGTTTACCCAAAAATGTGCGTCCTGCGTTTTGCATGCGTAACTTTAACAAACCAGGGGACGGAGTGAATAATATACAAAAGCAAATTGTGGTGTGGCTCAGTTAGTTGGCCTACATTTGACCAACACAATTAAACCACCTGGTGTGTCAGCATGGGCGAAATGGCTTCACAATGTAGCGAGTTTCTGGCTGCTTGGAGAAGGCCTACACTTTGAAACCTGGATAAGAGTGGAACTGGTAAAAGCAGCAACACACTGTTCCCAGTCGTGCCAAAGTGGGCTGTGAGATAAGAGCCCACAATAAGGTTCACTTCACGGCGTCCACAGCCCCGCTATGCGCCCCACTGCCCTGAACGGCACACAGAAACCTGCGTTCACAAAAAAGCCTTGGTATTCTCTCATCCTCATGATTGTGTTTACCCGACCGTTTTACCAAGCTACACTCAGGGAAATAACAAGGGCAGAAATTCACTCAAACCTGGGGGAAGCTATTTGTCTGAGCCCACGGTGTCAAAAGGCCAAGTAAAGGTTGTGTGAGAGAAAGAATTGCTTGGATACACCCCCACCCTACAGAGCGACATGCATTTCTCATAGGGGCCCTGAAGTAAGGCAATCTGAACACAATTGCGCTGCGTATTTTCTAAACCCCACACTTTTGTTGCTCAAAATTTCTCACCTGAAAGAATATCGATGGCCCTCATTGCAGCCTTCTCGTCCGGGCAATCCACAAACGCATAGCCGTTTTTGATAAGAAATGGACCACTGTGCGGAATCTTCCACTGCTCAAAGAGAGTTTCGAAGTCCTCCTCGGTCGCCTCTGCGCTCACGTTGCCAATGTATAGCTTATTCATGTTCTGCGCCGAAAAGGGACAATCTTTACGCTGAGGGAGAGATAGTTATTTGCTCTCGCGGATGTGCAGTGTTTAGAGTAGCCTAAATCGCCTTTACTACTACGGAGTGGCTGTGGCGTGCTTCCCGGTCGTTCAAGCCACAGATAGATTTAAACTGGCAGCCTCACAGTGCGTTTGCGCTCCCTCGCCCCTCTGTCTCTATCGCGCAATAAATAAATGCTCAATTATTAATCTCGTGCCTCCAAACGATGGCGGGCTGGGTGAAAAGGAGGAGAAACTACTTTGTGTCTTCCTCCAAACCCCTTGGCAAAGAGACAGAGAATGTCACACACGGTAAGGCTGGCGCCCGCCTCTAAGTCTAGAGCCTAGAATAAGAAGAAGAAGAAGGGGGAGAAAAAAAAATCCTCTGCTATTCCGGCTTTTTTGAATGAGCCACGTGTTCAAACTACAAATCAGCCCACACGTGAGGAATCCCAATTGCTCAATTAAGTGTTTGGGATTGGGGAAAATTGCACGGGAATCTGGGGTGGGGACAGCAAAGGGGAGTGAAGAAAAAAAGGAGGGGAAGAGTGGATTGGTGATGGGAAAAAACCTGGCGAGCTATGTGCGTAAAGGGATTCCGTGAGAAACTAGTGTATCTTTACTAGAATCACATTCGTGTGCCTTTCTCTGCAAAGCCTCGATTCTCATTGGTCGGTTGAGGAATAGTAAAACGGCAGTGCGCTCACGCACGCCCATAGCAGGGAGACGCTGATATTGCGGGGGCTTGTGCGCACGGCTGTGCTAAGTGCGCTGTACTGATGACACAGTAGAAGGAAAAGGGGGTGGGGCCATTCATAAATGATGTTGCACTATATATTGTTAAATTGCATAATGAACACATTTAATTCCAAGTATCTTGAATAGGAAGGGCCCTGTGCCGCTGCTTGGGCCCTCACGCAATGTGGGAATGACACGTACTGCTGTCCACATGACGGCATCCATCTTCTCCAGCAAGAGTGGAGCCATGCCCCTTCTGATCCACAACTCAAAGTCCAACAGCAGGCCCGATTTGCTCGTGGTCACACAAAGTAATACTGAAAGGGTGTCTTTGGGTGCCATGAGTGCCGCCACGCCACTTGTTTTTCACATCTTTCAGCCAGTTTTTGGCACAACGAGGACGCGTTGGCCATGTGGAGCGTAACACACATGGCGAATCCTCTCTGCTATACCTCCGGCATGGATTTGAATCTACTGAAAGAGGGAGGGGTCTCCTACACCAAAGTGCCCCTAGCGTCCTATGTAACGCACAGCTCAATTTAATCACGTGTGGAATACATGTCTAAAACATTACACAACTGCCAATAAGGTCTTTTTTGGAAATCGTAGGCGAACGCCGATAGTTTACGCGTAGGACACTGCAGCTAAAAAATACGGCAAAAATCAGTGTTTTCAGGAGTGTGTGGCGGATGGATACATACCTGTTGATGAGGAGAGGTCGATTAGCTCTCGGAGCAGCAGTAGGGCAAGTTTTTCAAGAACAGGGGCCCAAAAATGAAACGTTAAACACAGGGGTCACGCTGATCACTGAGTCCAATCTAAGAGTATATTTGGAAAGGAGTAGAGTATTTACTTCTGTCTATCTATCTATCTATCTATCTATCTATCTATCTATCACTAATGCAATCTATTGCAACATTCCTGCAATAAATGTTACCCTCATTACGGTTGTATCATTGTGAAGGCTGTAGTTTGCACTGTTGTACTGCATTCCAATGAGTGGTGTATCTAATATTCAGTAGATCCTTGTTGATGTAAATAAGGTGGACAAACTATTAAAAACACTTTTCAGTATGCAGCAAAACTGTAACTGACCTTAAAGCTAAATCAATGCCTGTTTCAAACACATTCAAGAAGAACTCAGCATTAAAAACCTCAAGAAGATAGCATTTAGTTAGCACTAGTTTAACATTTGTGTACCTAATAAACTGGCAACATGAGTGTGTCTGTCTATATTTAGCATATCCATAACCTTAGAGTTCAACTTTGACCCCAATACCTTTTAACTGCTCTTTAAGTGTTTACATGTGCCCAATACACAGAACATGTGACAGTAGAACATGGGGTGTAATGTGTCTGTTTTTATACCTGGACGTACAAAGAGGCATCATTTAATTGCAGGAAAAGTATTAATTGAAAAGCCTGGAGGTGTGAATCTGAGCTGTGACACAACAGCACAACCAAAAAAACTGATTTTCTTGCAGCTGTATGTTTTTCATTGTAACCTACATATCTTTAAAAAGCTACTTGAAATGCATTTCACACAAAAAAAGAGAAAAAAGTTGGGTGTTGCCCGTGCTGCAGCCTCGCCACTGCCCCAGCACAGAGCTGAGATGATGGTGTCCCTGCAGTGTTTCTACTAATGAATAGGTCTAGGTGTGCATGTTCGTGTAAAGCAGGTTACAAAAGACAGTGTTGGTTTAGTGGGCCCTTCAGCCACTGGCTCACACTGGGGCCATGGCTGTTCTCAGTGGGTTTACTCCTCTGCTTGCCGAACGAAGCGCTCCGATTGGTCGAGCCCGCCGTCCAATCAGCGCGCCGCAGCCCCGCTCCGTACTACTGCTGCTGGCTCGGCCTCAACGCGCTCATTCATTGGCTCCCCGGCTCCACTATTCTATATGAATCAGCGCGCCAATTATGCATTTTCTTCCCGTGTTTCCTCTCTTTGGCTTTTGTCACAAGGCATAAAGATGTAACGAAAACGCGAACCGGGAGCCAAATCCGTGCTGCTTTTTCCCCCCTCCTCCTCCATAACGGTCCTCTGCTTTTCAGGAACTTTATGTTGTGTTTACATTCACGGGACGCCACTATAAATAGCTGAATCTGGCGGGGAATAAAAGTGTGCGTTTAAAATCCGCTCTGAGCACACTTGATGCTCACTTTTAATGGTTTTAGAATTTGTTTCAAGCTTCAAGTCCCCTCTTAAAAAAGTTTCCCACTAACTTTTTTACATCCATATATTCCCTGTGTATGGACTGATTCATGCAGCCTGGGCGCTTTCCGTCGGCCTGGTTGGGCTCATACAATTTTTTAAAACCCCTTTCATTAATGATTTCCACTGCGATTGAAATAACGAACGAAGTGGAGGGGAGGGGAGGGGAAGAGAGCTTGTGTTTTGTGTGCATGCAGAGTGGACTCCCAAAAAAAAAACAAAAAAAAAAACGTATAGAGACAGCAGTCATGTGAGTGGCTCTGTCGGTTTAAATGAACCGATGCATGGCTGCAGCCTCTGTGTGTGTGTGTGTGTGTGTGTCCGTGTGTGTGTGTGTGGCTGCAGGGCTCTTGCAGGAGGAGTAGTGAATGTATCGCTGAGGAATGTACAGAAAGTCTCCCCGCCCCCAGTCTCAGGACTCCTCGCTATGGACAAATTCCATAGGGGGCAAAACTGACATAAAGTTTCAGACTAGACTGCATCCTATGTGGGAAGATTTCAGCGGTTAGTGTCAGTGCAGGGAAAGAACTGGGAGAGAGAGAGAGAGAGAGAAAATAATCGATCTGGTTAAACATAGTCGAGGGTTATTTCTAGAGAGAAGAACAAAGAGATTGTTTAAGTAAAATGAGGAGAAAAAACAAAAAAACGCAGCTTATAGCCCAACTTTGTAGAGCTGCTGGCCTCACTCCAAGATATAGTCAACGTCGCCAAGGCTCTTTCACAAAAACCCCCCCTTTTAGGCTACAGTGAATCAAGGGATTCTGTTTGACCGGTGAGACTGCTTTATTTTTTAATTTTTTGATTCATTTCTTTTTGAAATTTCGGATCTGTAACAAATGTTTTCTTTCCACTTGAGTTGGAAGCTATAAAAAAAAAAAAAAAAAACATCCAGTGGCTGACCGCTTCGGACAGAGTCAGAGAACAGTGTTGGTGAACGCCATGTTGAGGAGAGCCTCACTACTAAACCTGATCCAAAGCAACAATGTTCCTTATCGCTGCTAATGCTCTGATCTGTGCTCCACACTGAGGAGGGGAGGTTTTGCTGTGGCCAACAAAGTGCCTCTAACGCAGCATCCAAAATTGAACTTAACCAAAAAAAACAAAAAAAAAAAGAAAGTGTTTGCTCCACAGATTGTGCTTCTGGGATGACACCCTTCATCTCATTAGAAAATGGCGGTTTGTGCCCCCCTTCAAAAAAAACCCACACAAGCCAAAAAGGAATATTTCTTTCTGAACAGTGAATAACGAGTTAATGCTTGCTGGAAAAAAAAATACAAAAAAAAGAGCAAATGTATTCCTGCTAACATGTGTGTTGTTTTGAAAATAATAATGCTGGTTAAAGAAGCTGCAGCTTTTCCTGATTTCTGCACTTTTTTCAGTCAAATCTTGGAATTTAGTGCAAAAAAGTTGATCCAATCTGGATGAGCAGTGAATGAAAAGATCATTTAGATGTGGGGATATTTTAGATGAAACAAGTGCTCCTTTGTTTTGCTGAAAACTGCTTTAAAAGCTATTAATAGCAGTGTAAGGCAGCCACCGTCATCCTATTGTTTCGTCTCAGTTTGCAGCCACTTTGCCTGTATTTTTAGTTAAATATACATTTATTAGTTGGTAATGTGGTGATTTTTTGTGCTCTGTATTTCATACGTTGCATGGTGTGTGAATGAATTAATTGGAAGTTCTTTTTTTGTTTCCATATTTTACTATTTCTGGGGAAAAAAGTAGTTTATTTGAACAAACATCTGTTGATTTTTTAATTTAATTGTGATCTTGAGATGGCTGCATTTTTTGGTTGTGAAGCCTTTTGGTCAGATTAACTCCACATGTTCGTGCTGAACAAAAGTTTGATGAAAGTGGGTATTTTTTACGCACAGTCACATGAATATTTGCAGACTTTGTCACACATTGGAGCTATACTGTACGGCCATGCTTCAGCATGAGGCTTTGTCCTCCTGAAAGGAAATCCCCCCCTTTGGCTGCTCTTGTTTATTGCTTTCAGCACCTTGACTGATTACTTACACTGTGATTAGTGTTCACAAAATTTCTCCCTAATCAGCTCAAAAACAATCATCTTCTTTAATATCTTGTTTTCTGAAAGAAGAGAGAAACTTGAGCAGTTGTGCTTCAAGTTTTCAAACTTGTAATTTTTTACATTAGATTGTGTTTCTTGTAAAAAATTAAGTGCATTATTTGTTGTGTTTGGAATGGCCTAAGTTGTGTGTTGTCTCCTGCTAGAAATCAAGCTGTTATTTACTGCATGTGATTCTTGGACATTAAGATAAAAGTGTAGGGGGGGTGATCCTCTGTTAATTTGATAATTTTGGAAATTTATTTTCATAAAGAAGAACAAAGGATTTCAATATATTTCAACAGGTTTTTGAACCAGAAAGTTTTTAAATGTTGTAGCAGAAAAATGAACTTTTGGTCTGTTTGTGGATTGTTGCTTGAAGTCAAATCTGAGGTGTAAACGTATTTAAAACATTTCAAGTTTCAAACAGTTTTTAAATTGCGAATGAATTTTTGATTGTTTCGTGTTGATAGAAATTAGCTACTATTTTTTAAAAAAGCAATAAAAACATTTTGCTGCAGAAAAAGTACTTTTATTTGGTTTAATTTGCACTAATTTCTTTAAGAAATAAATACACAACTCTCTTTAACCTCCAAAAACATCACTTCTGTTGATTAATGTTAAGAAACCTCAACTAACAAAAACTCAAATGATAAAAAGGGTCAGGTTGTGTTTCTTTTATCCAGCTTTAAAAATTCAGACTAATATGTAAGATAATAGCCATGTACTGCCTGAATCTGAATGTATGTGATAGGAGTGAAACCTCATGTTTAATGCTCGGACGTGAACAAGTCAGAGGAGGAGAATTTAAGCCTACATCCCCCACCAGCCCTCCTGCGTTCCAACAGTATACACGAACAAGCTGCTGCCAGTTAACCTTCAGACATTGTCCTGTACATTGTCCAAACCCAGCTTTAATCTAACATGTTAAAGCTACAGGTTGCACCTATGTGTGGCTCCTGGGTGTATTTGGTTCTCTTCTGTAAAACAATGGCCCTCTACAGTAAAACTATGTGATAAAGTTCATTAAAAAAGATGAAAATTTGATGTTATCAGGACGTACTGCAACCGTTTGATTCATCTTTTTTGTGATTGAAGTAGATGTGGACTGCCTTCGCTCAGCAAATGGTTTCTTATTGCCTAAAAAACAATGTGGATGTGTCTTTTTCTTTTCTGAATGTCTGGTTTAAGTTTTATAGGTGAAATTTGTCTGCATGGACGCCCAGTAATGCAAACATCTAGCCAGGGTGTCCCCTACTGGTCAGCCTATTGGAAAGGGACCCCTGCCATGACACCTCTGTCGTATAAGTGCACCGTCAGTGATGAAGGAACCCACACATTTATCACTACACAGCCTCACATGTAGCCACTGAATCAAGCGCTCATAATTTACTTGTCATTATTCCAACTTTAAAAATGGCCGCAAGTTCGCTGGGAATAAATATCAAAGGTGAAAGCGAGCACACACGTTTAAACATGTCTTAGAATCGCTCAGTTTATTGAGAAAGACCTCATACTTTGACCCCTTGTATCGTTCCAGCCAGTGGTTACCTTGGAACCTTAAGAATTATCTCTGGATCGGTGTGAATGAACGCATAACTCTGAGGGGCCCCATGACATGTCAGCAGTGATTATTAACCCCCTTTGAATGAAGTGCCTCAGTATTGGGCCCAAGGTCTACAGATAAAGAGCTCCTCCAATTCCTCCAGGTTTACTTTTGTGATTAGCCATTCAGCGGGAAGATCCTGGCTGATATCAATTTGTATCAATCCGAAATTTGACCACCTGTGGGACAAACTGACTGATCGTGTTGATTAAAATCTGAAGCATTCTTCACGCGTGAAAATACGATCGGTGGCTTCGTCTCATGTAAAAAACACACTTGACCCTGTCTGTTCTGTCATGATGTAAAGCACAAAGCAACACTTTCAATATAGAAATTTCAACTCATGTCACTGAGGTTAAGTGAATTTCAATCAAGAGGTGAATGCATTTTAATATCTACCATGGTAAGATCCTCTGTGTTACTCTGAACATGTATTGAGTTGTATTATATATTGCCTGTTTTACATGTGAACTTTGGATTAAAGCTCGGTAAAAGTCCTTGTGTGCATGTTTTCATTGGTGTAACCTGAATCAAAGCAAACTAAACGTATGGAGAATATACTGCAGTGACTACAGCTCAGCTACTTTATATTGGTGTTAACATTATGAAGTGCACACACACATTGGCGCTGGTCTTAGTCTGTGAAACTCTTGTTTTCCCACCTCACCCACTAAACTTACAGTTTTGCCTCCCGCCCATACAACTACTATAAATCTCAATTTGATGCACACTGAGGCAGAAAAACACCTTAGCAACTTGAGAGTTTTCATATATTTGTATTTCCATACAAAGAAACAACAATAAAAAAATGTCATACATGATATTAAAACTCTGAAAACAAAGACTTCCCTTGACAAAAAAATAAAAGGTGGCTGTGAATGTGAACAGAGACCCAACTGCTGGTTGCTGGTAACACTTCATTTTACAGCCCGAGTTACCTGCTACTTACCAGTAAACTCAGTTAATGCCAAGTAATATGAGAACACATCTGTTATTCTTGCTGTTCATACACAGAGTGCATTCTTAGAACTACTTAATACAAGTTGTAAAATCAAGTGTCACCATTATTTATTAAAATCCTTTCTTTCCCCATCACAAAGAGTGTTAACAGTGATCGGTGCAATAAATCTAGCAAACCCTCACGGACCAGAAAACGGCAATCCATGCTGTAGAAAACGAAGAGGGAAGGAAGGATGCAAGTCCAAGGATGAAGCAAGATTGAGCAACGGTCGCTGAGCTCTTTGCTCACACTCGACATGGATGCATCAAAATGTCTAAAAATTAAGACATCTATTGCATGTAAACAAGAACTACCTCAAACTTAACAGTTCTATTGATATAGACATGCTTATTCAAAACGTTCCCCTCTGAAACCCCTTGATGAATCACACACCATCAATTGTTGGAGGGAAGCTGAATATTGAAAGAAGAAATTTAGTATCGTCCTGCAAAAAGAAACAGAAAATTTGTATTAGTACAGGTTTAAGACAACAGAGTTCTAATAAGGTTTATTGGCTTTCACCAGTGATTGAGGCACATAGACGTGTTTCAATATGCTTCATAGCATCTGATTTCATGTCTGAAAAAATGTCTTTTTATGTATTTTTCTTCACACTTACGTGGGCTGTAAGAGCGAGACCTTGAGCGGGACCTGTATCGACTGTAGTAGGGTGATGGAGAGCGTCTGCGACTGTAAAGAGACAAAGAAAAATATAATACGTTCTCTCCCACCTAACAGCACAACACTGGCTTTGTTCTCACAAATTGCTACTCACCTATATCTATAGTCATATTCGTCGTATCTCTCATAGCGGTCATAGCCACGGTCGTAGTAGGAGTCTCTCCCCCTCCTGCTGCTGCTGCCGCCACCGCCGCCGCCGCCACCCCCACCGCCATTGCTGTTGAGATCAAATAGTTTTTTTTTTGTTTTAAGTGCACCATGACTTGCATGCAACTGATCTCTTTAGAAATGCAGCACTAGGGATGAGAATTAGGAAGTTGCTCTGCTCATTGTAACAAATGTTTCTCAATTCCGTCATTCATTCGTGATACATTTTCTGTGTGGGAAAAAAAAACACACAAGCCACAGTGGTTATCACCGTCAACGGCACTGAAATTGAATAGAAAACAGGCCACGCAGGTCAGTCAAGTGTGCAAAGGCACCACTGTTTAAACACGGTCTTGCAATATGTAACTGTCAGAAAAACGTGTTTGCATCACCACTCTATTCCCATTCCTACTTAGCACCATGTCAAAACTGATATAAAGTGCAAATTACAAATATGTTCCAAGACAGGATGCACAACTGAATACTAAACTGATATGAGAAAGCTCTCATTCTAGTTTTTCCCCCCTTTTCTATACTGATTAGCTCAGATGTACATTTAAATTTCCAGCAAACTTCAATGATGGATGCCACAGAATAGGTTTGGGAAACAGTTACGCAAGATCTGACATTAGTGCTGATCTTACTGAGTCGGTCGGCCCATGTAGATTCCTGGTGTGGGAGTATGGGGACGTTTGGTGATGGAGTAATCCACTCTGATGCGCCTCCCGTCCAGCTCCATGCCATTGGCTCGCTCCATTGCCTAGGAACCACGAGAAGGAGGAGAAGACAAAGATGTTATCAGACTACTGTAAGCTCTCTGGTAAAAACTCGTGAATTCACAAACTTTGGCCCACCAACATTACAGGCTACAATCCCCCCGATATGGGACGCATAAAGGTGGGCAAGAGAATTTAAGGCAAGGCAGACACCTAGTGGTATCTCAATGCAATCACGCCTAAGTAAAAAAAGTGTGCATCTAAAAAGGGGGAGCCACACACACAATGAATTTGCTGATGACTGCATATAGAAGTGGAATAATAGTTTGAAAAATATTACATCAAAACAGTATCAAAAATCAGTGCAATGACCAGAGCTGACACCTCGTATACTCTTTATTCTTGGACTCAGCTCCATGCCATTTTTCATTCTAGCTAGTATCTGGGGAATACTTTGACTCTGGACACCTGATGAAACTAATTAGTCACTAGGACCCAGATTGGAGATCACTGGGCATCCGACACATAAATAAAACTAAAAAAGAAAAAAAACCAAATTCCCGTACCTCTTTGGAATCCTCAAGCCTCTCAAAGTAAACGAAGGCAAAGCCACGGGAGCGACCTGTGCGCTGATCGTACACCACGTTGACCCCGGCCAGAGGACCGTAGCGGGAAAACACCTCCCTCAGGTCGCGCTCTGTTGTGTACAGGCTCAAGCCAAATACCCCCAAACATGTGCTCGGATCAGGGTTCGCCTGGAAAGGTCAACAATAAGGGTCAGATTTGATGGTGTGGTTCACCACAACTACCCATCTAATGGTTTGCATACGAATCCATTCATCGGATTTAGTAGGCAAGACGTGCTTCTTCATGCTCAAGGCAGTTTTTTTTTTTTTTAACATGTTGCACTGGGAACAGAAAGCTTTAACAAGAAACCACTAAGGACACATCTTGTAGTAATTACTACACAACTTGTAAAACCTTCATATTTATACACTGGCTACATAAAATCAGTTATTAGTGTTTAGGGAGAAAACACCACTCCAACTACGCTGCATATACACTTATAACTTACAACCGAGGCACTTACTGGGCCGTTACTAAAAAGCTAGAAATATACATATGTTTTTACAATGAGGCATTAAAATCAGCAGTAACAGTGTCACAGTAAATTCTCAGTGGGTAAACTATGACAGCTTTAATAACCCCTTAAACTGCTTTCAAAAAGATGTCACAGGGAGATTAAAAACATACAAGAAAACCCATTTCATTCGCCTCATGCGTGCTTTGAAACATCTCGCTCCTGTTTTGCATCATCACACAGACCTCTTAAAGCAGCAGTCGACTTCAAACATTAACTTACATAAACAGTAGTCAAATATGGTGCTGCAAGAACATGGCGGCAGACAGGGGACCTCAGGAATGTATCAGTTTTACCCTTTATTTAGCATTAATATACAAAGCAGAATCTGATTGTGTTCAGACCTGTTTTTTTTTTTCCCTAAACACCAATGCCTCCAAATGTAAATCTATTGCATTAGTTTTTGTTTTTTTCAAAGAAATAATAATCTTACATTGTCACGTTTTAGAATTCAGTAACTCAAGAGGTACATTTATTAAGCATTTCATTTTTTTCATTCATATTTTCCCAGTTAGTGTCATACTAAAAAAGATACAGCACACTATAATTAAAATATATGAAAACTGCACACACCCATGCATTTGAAATTTTTGGTGCATTAAAATGAACATACTACACTGATAACTTTCTTATGGATAACATGTATAGAAATAGGCCCTTTTTGCAATGCATTTATGAAACGTACTTTAATTAGGTAAGGTGATGCAACTCTAAAATCAGTGTAATCCATCATTTTGGTTGCAAACCTACTCCCCATACTAGCCCCGCTGTCTAAATACATCAAGTTCTTTGGTATATATTTACATTCTTACCCCTTATCCAGCTCTACAAAGGGAGCAGAAACTTTAATCCACACACAAACATTACATTACTGTTTCCCAAAATATGTCAGAAGGTCCACATACCCTAACATCAGCATCACCGCCATGACTGTATGCTTCTTTTGTGAAGTCATGGCTCTGTTGATATAACGAAAGGAGGGGAAGATTAATCAAAGGGGTTATTAAATGTCATGTTAAAGTGGATTCCCACAGCACTTACCACAATCATCTGATAAAAAATACTTCCTTACACGTTACAGAAAGATAAACTGACTGACGTTTAACAGTTAAAATGTCTAACAAAAAAATCCATGTCAATGCATTTTCAATTAAAAAAAACAACAACATAAATTAAAATGAGAAACTCAAAGAAAAACCGTTTTGGTGAGATTAGCTTAATGAGTGTGAAAGTATGTCGCAGCTTTAAATCATAATGTAATGTAACATTCACTTACAGGCAAGACCTTTTAAAAAAAAAAAAAAATCCCTCCCACAACAGTTTTAGCATGATTTATTTTCTATTCAGTCTGTACAGTAACAGATCATACAGTTTACAAGCTATGATGTGCAGTAAGCCAATCTCCCCAAAAACCTGAATACGTCTAAAACATTAGCAACTTACTGAAGTGTATCAGTCTTCCTTTTATTACCTTCTGTACTTTGCTCTATCTTCAAATCTCACCACACTCACCCTGCTGCCAGTGTGACGGCGGCGGTTTGACATAGGGGATGTACTCTGGCTCCTCCGGCGGCGGTATTCAGGGCTGTAGGAACGAGAGCGGGACTTCCTCCGGTGGGAATAGGACCGAGAGCGAGAGCGGCTATAGCGGCGGTTTGAGTGCCGCCTAGAACGAGACCTGAAAACAAGAAGTTATGATAAACAGTGAGGGGGGGGTGAAAAGAGAGTAGAAAAGGAAAGACTCAACACATCCTGCAAAAAATGACATATTTCTACCCGATCAACATTTATTAGTTTGCTAAAATGATGCAATTACAATATCACAAAGGCCAATATAAAATGGCAATAACATACCTAGATTTTGACCGAGAGTGGGATCTGGACTCAGAGCGTTTGGAGGCCCGGGATGGACTCGGGGAGCCTGACCTGCTCTCCGACTTGACCCGAGCTGGACTCCCATGATCCGATTTAGATGGGGACCGTGACCCCTATTGCCACAGCAGCAAGTTAACAACTTTCTCTTGGACAGATTCATTTATTTCTTTATATAGAAAGAATCATACATAGAGAAGTGAAATGTGGTAGTGTATGCGTCACACAAACAGTACACTTGTCTAAAATGTACAGCATATGTACTGTGGAGAAAAGGGTTAGTAATTTTGTAATTTCAATAAATAAATCTTTGGTTTGCAATGTGGCATTGTATTAAACATATATAGCAAATGTACATGACAGGTCTATATCCATGTCCACCTAGGTCAACAAGGGAGAAAGTAAAAACATGCATTTTTACGTTACAGAAAGGGAGCAATGGTAGAGAAAAGACATTTGTGACACAAACAGTATATTTACTTAACCTAGGGACACATTCATTCTTCCAGATTCTTTACACGCTACTCCCTTCTCTCAGGATTTCTATCCTTCTTCATTCTTCTTTTTTCAGTTTTCTCATTTTCTGATTCCAGGTCTGTTTCATTTTAGCCATTTACACTGCAAGTGTGTCTAGGACACCATTCTTCCGTCACATTTCCTCCCTTTCCACTTCTATGTTCTGCTCTGTAAATGTTTTCATTAGCCTTCTTTTATCTTGAAAATTTTCTTCATCATTCTTGGATAAAACTCTTCAAATCCTTCACGTTCAATAACCTTAATGAAAAAAGAACATTCAATAAAAATTAAGATCATAGGTTTAGGAAAAGGAGAATGTCTTTAAAAGAAATGAAAAGTAACACTGAATGCAGTACAATTACATTGCTGCTACATTAAGTTTTAATATTTCAGAAACAATGTAAATGAGCAAAGATACATCAGTGTATTCTAGCAATATTTCAATTTGCTTAATCAGAGAATCAAAGCTGAGAAGGAGCAGTGGCTTAGGACTACATCTGATATAATGAAATGCGAAAGCAAAACAAAAACTGTGTCCAACAATGGCTGCAGCAATAGCAGTAGCACCTACATTACAGGACTTCACATTAACGTCGCAGATGTCTAGTAATAAAATCATGTTTAGGAATATGTCAAGTGCGATGAATTTAACTTGGAAAAGCAGAGGGACAATTTGCAGAAGCCAAGGTTTAACCCCGGTCATGTTAAGCTAACGGTGGCTAGCTTGCTAGCTGCCGTTGGTGGAGCCTGGTTGAAGCAGTCTTGCTAGCAGAACCGTTCGTATAAAAATACTTTCGTTCACATTGTTTAGTTCGAGGCAGATACAAAACGTTTTTCTGCCACTATGAGACAAGTAACGCTAACAAATAATACATGTATGTTCTACCTTTAGCTATTAACGTATATTAGTGGTGAAGTCAACCAATTTTCTTTATGTGAAGCCACACAGAAGAAAGAAACAGGAAGAAAGGGAGGTATTTGGTCTCATTTCGTGTAACTACTTACCCGTGCTTCGTAGTTTCCGTCCTCAATGTCACTCATTGTTCAGTATTGCTAATGAGAAATAGTATTTTGAAAGAAAAAGAAACTGTAGCGCGGTTTAACGCAAGGTTTTTTACGACCGGTTATTAGCAAGAAGATGGCGCGTAAGGTGGGTGGTATGTTTATGTGCCGCAGAGTCCGACGTCACTTCCTGTCTCCCACGCCCCCCCTCCCCTCCTCCTCCCCTTAATGGAAACCATGGCGTACGTGAACGCATCACGACCATAAACACACCCTGACAACTTTTTAACCCGCAGTTTACCCACTGGGATGAAGTCTGACCCCAGAGGTATAGGCCAGTCATATCTCTCAGGTGTTTTGCTGTGCCATTACAATTTTCAACATTTGGTTCATATCATTTTATTGCTGAAACTTCATATTATATTGTTTTCTGTGACTGTTTTAATTATTGCTTTGGAAAAATAAAATACTAAAGTATGTGGATTTCACTCCTGCATTTTAGAAAAAAAAAAAAACAAGCCCAAAACAAAAACAAAATACTCTTGGGTAAACATGGTTAATTACTCATCTACCACATCTCAAAATAGCTGTGGTGTACCACAAGATTCTATTTTAGGCCCACTTTGTCCGGCTCCAGGCTGCACAGTCAAAACATGAACCAGCCTGCTGTCGTGGATCGTCAGGTAGGGCCCTTGTTCCAAAGTCGAGGCAACAGACTGCAGCTATAAAAAGTCTTGTGGTTGAGTCTTAAATCTAAACATGACTGTGCTTGTGCTGTCGGGCCACTTCCGCTTTGGAACGACCTGAGGAGATAATGCTTGCAGGAACGTCTTTTAAATCACTTCCTAAAATACATTTTTTCAGACTTACTTTTTAGGGAAGTTCTGGAGTTTTATTGCTTGAATTGTTGTACTCATAATTATATATGCCATTTTTTTTGTCTTGTCTTACCTAGTTAGCCTTACCATCTGTTGTTACTTTGCTATCTGAGTATTCTGCTTTTGTTTTGTCAAACCACTTTTCAAAATGTGTTTTTTAAAAGTACTGTATAGATAAAGTTGTATAGATACAACTAAAATACTGTATAAACATCCACAGACCGCAGCAATTTCCCTGAGGTCTTGTACCAAAGGGATTAATAAAGATTTTTTAAATTCTAATTCTAAGTTAGTATTATTTTGCCTATGCAGTTTTAACAGACATATTTATTGAGCTCATGTTCGCCAAGGTTCCTAAGTTGAACTATCACACACTATCCGGGGCAGTAGGTGCACTCTAGATAGAAACTTTGCTGACAACCCAAAAACTGCTCTTCCTATAATAAGACGAATGTTCAAAGTCAGAAATACGGAACATAAAGATGAAATTACGATGTTCTGTTATACAAGAGATACAATAGTGTGAATGACCATGTTTGAGGAGGTCTGCTCAGCTTCTTAAACCTCCAATATATGTTTGGTTGTCATGAATCTAAAAGAATAGTTTTGGATGACATCAGTAATACTGTTTTTGTTTTTGTTCTTTTAATTAACAATCAGCAGATCAAGATTGGCCAGATTTGGCATTGCAGAATTTTGGAGAATTCTAAATATAACACAAATAATATTTACTTAAAATTACTGACAATTAAATGATACCAGAATCAAAGAATAAGCTCCTAATGTGGATTGTACTTGGCAAAAGAGCTGCAATTTCTAGTAAAGAAATGTATTTTCATTTTCCCACAACATACAAGTTAACTGTAACTTCCCAAAAATAACATCTTTTTTACAGATGACATTTTTGCATAACTATCATTTTGGGAAGACATTAGCAAACATTTTGTTTTGATGTTTGTTTGCTTGGTTTGTTCTTAGGGTCCCCAGGGACTCAAGTCAAGAGTCCTTGTATGGTAAATATGTTGGTGGGATGAACGTTAGGGGCCTTCCACGATTAGCAGTAG